AACAATTTGTTACACAGGATTTTTCTCACTTTTACTTTGGATTAAGTTGAAATAAAACCAAGAATATAACACAAAAGAAGTCCCAGACTTATTGCCATTGTGATCCTTGATGTAAAGATGGCAAGCAGTCAGGTGACACAATTTGACTGTATTCTTAAAATTGTAACCAAATAACAAAGACCTCTTACTCAAGTACTGTACTTACAGGTTCAGTGTGTACGATATATTGGGATATATTGGCAGAAATTGGATATATTATGTATTAAGTATGTTTTTTTGTGTGTGTGTATAATGATCTGAAAATAAGAACTGTTGTGTTTTAGTTACCTTATAATGAGCTGTTTAAAGCTACCTAGGGACTAAAGCATTGGCAAAACACTTTTTTTTAAACTTGGAGCTGCTTTATTCAGTGTTTTCACTGGTTTAAATCACCAGGTTTGTTTGATTTGGAGAGACCTCTCGGATAATTCGGCTCCAGGTAACCTCCTGAGTGTCTACATCTTATCAGAGATAAAAGGTGAGCACACTTAAGCAGGTGCTTGGCTATTGGCCCATCTGTGACATGCTGAACAGCGTCAGAGAGACACTGATTTGTAACATTAAACTGCTTTATTTAGTGTTTTTACTGGTTTTAATCACCTGGTCCATTTGTTCTGGAGAGGACAAGACCTCTGCCGATAATTCGACTCCTGGTAAAAACGATGAACACATACAGTAAGGAATTCTAACCAGGAGAATCTTAACACTTTAAAGAAGGCATTCTGCAAAGATGACTTTTACTTTCAATACAGTTTGATACTTTTAATAATTTTTAAAAGCAGACCTTTTAAGGAGTATTTCTACACTGTGGTGTTGCTACTTTATTAAAAGGTCTGAATGCTTCTTTCTCTACTGTTTTTTCCTCACTGAGAACACCAAATTAATGTCATCAACTGTAGTTACAGAATTTCCTGTAATGTATTTATTCTTCTTTTTCTTAAAGGTTATTTAGAAAGCCCCCTTTTAATGCGACTCATACAGGTTTGAGCACACCCTAACCCAGTTTAATGAGGCAGAACTTCTTATTCCCACTCCTCAAATCCCCAGACGATATGTCGTTGCCAGAGGTGCACACCCACAACAAAAAGGACCAGATTATGATACATTAACTGATTACTATACTGATTTTAAGCCTTATCTCCTTTCAGGTACCTGCCAGCATACACCACACAGGCTTTAAAGCTTTCTATTTACTCTTAAATAAGAGTAAATATCAGTCAACAGAAAAAGATCCATCTATGACAAGTATACGCATTACACAAAGAGGTAAGATGGATGATGGGATCCTTTCCATTGCAGCGACAGACTTGGCAGAGAAATACAATGACATGACATGAAATCAAAGCCAAATCTCTTACCAAATCTTGTTAGGATCCTTCAGGTGCTGTGAAGAGCTGGTGTTTAACTATCACTGTCTTCTGACACCTGAGACACAGGTGCACCAGTAATCTGCTGAAGGGTGTGTTCTCATGTGATGACACAGGCAATAATAGTCGACTGCTTCACGCTGCACAAGGGGGCCGGGCATGGTTTGCTCTACTAATTCAACCGTGTACTGCTATTGGTTTGTTCATGTGTGTGTGTTTGTGTGTGTGTGTGTGTGTGTGTGTGTGTGTGTGTGTGTACATCTACACTCAGTTTTTCTGTATGTGAACATATGTGAGAAAGACAGACAGAAAACAAGTAGACACAAAGTATAAAGTTAGAACTGATCCATGTTCAGCAGTTGTTTTTTTTTTATATATATAAGCTTCTAGCTTTGTGTAATGAGAAAATTTAGACTCTGACACAACTGATTTTGCAGTGTTTTACTTAGAGAGCAGCCCGAATTGTGCAGATAAATAATTAACACAACAGTATGCATTCATTTTGAATTTTAACCAGCTTGTTGATGTCACTCTTTTTTCCTTGTCTGTGGTTACACCCAACCCAGACACTAGTGTACACACCAAAATAAGGGTTGACCATAAACGCTCCCCCCACAGGTGAAAAAAAACAGATCTCTTTCATGGCTTTGAAGCTGACACATTTCCTCAGTGTGTCCCATGATTTATTTCAGGGCTGTCTGTCAATTTGCTTGAATGTTCAAACAAAGAAATAATGAGCAAATAATGAGAAAGAAGTCACAGCAAAGTTAAAATGTGGACTGTAAACATCACAGTCTGAAGACAAGCTGCTCTGAAAACTGGTATTCATGTGTGCATGCATACACACACACACACACACACCCGCGCACACCATGGCATGCACACACAGATCAAGTTAAACTGGTTTGATAATCACACGAGGCATGGGAGAAGCAGAATTCAGTATGACGGGTAATGATTCATTCAGGGTGAAGGGTACAAGTGAACAGAACAACAGCAACAGGAAGCTGGTATAAGGATGCTGTGTTTAACGTAAACTGAAGTTTATTCATAATTTCAGGAAGGAGTGTTCACAAGTTTACAACCACCACAGCTACTGATACTATGTTACTGGTATCATTCACGGGTCATGACAGAATCACAATACTTCAGTCAAAGGCCTGATTCATTACAACTCTTTAAAGGAATAATTCACCCACAAAAGTACTCACCCAGTGTTATGTTGAATTTGTAAAGAAAACTTTGTTAACACTTTATTTGGATTGTCTACCTGGGATAGTGTTTCAAACATTTCAACAGCTTATTAGTTGAGATTCAATGACTGACCTTTTGCTAAGCCCCTTTGTGATGGTCCGACAAGCTGTGGGAGTCATCATGGAGCCCACACTGTGACTAACTGCACTCCCTGAAGAAATATTATCATATTTTTGGGAAAATGAAAGTGATTCTAGAGAGAAGCAGACAGAGGGGTCTACAATCTGTGTTTGAAGGATATATCCAGGATGTCAAACTGACTCAGCAGCAACAACAGGTTAAAAAGACAAAGATAGTTAGACGCTAACACCACCTATCTACCCTTTTAACATATACACACACACACACACACACACACACACACTCCTAACCCGGTAACTACCTCCTTCTACTGCCGATGACACCAATGCCCCCACCTACACACACACACTTACGCATACCTTAACTATAGAGTTCCCAGCCCCCCAGACACCCCATTGTGTTTGTTTTGTACCTGTAGAGTCACCACTGTGTTCATTTTGCACCAATAAAAATAAATAAGCATTGAATCCAAAGCCTGTGCATTTGAACTCGAGTTTGAACACATGCACCTTCTCAGGCACACTATTCATATGCAGAGGTGTTTTAAATAGAAACGTATTAGTGAAAATGCACGTGTTTGGGAAGTACTGAGCATGCAACTGGATAAATGACACTTGGATTATACTGCAGGAGTTGTGTGAGAGTTTGTAAATAAATGTTTTGATTTAGTTTTACTGTGGTTAAACGTGGTCCCCTTTGTACTCCAATTCATCAAGAATGTTAGCTGTTTAAAATTCTTCATTCCCTGTGGAGATGTGAGATGTGAGAAGTTTTTTTTCCCCACAGATTCAACGCAAGGTAAGGTCAGTACCTGATTTATAAATAATCATATTGTGGGTGATGTATTCCTTTAAGAATTCCTTCACAGCTTTAAGTTTTTAAGTAATTATTTGAGAATGAAACACGATATGTGCTGTTTTTGAAAGAACGTTGAACAACCTCTTTGTAAGTTGCACCCAAGTGCCAGTGGTGTGTTACAGATGAAGCCAAACAAAAAAATAACACTACTTAAAGCAGTCATTTGGGCATCCAGTTAAAATCTCTTTTTTTCAGAAGAGCAGAATACAATTTTGCAATATTGTGATATTATTTAACTAACTCAGAAAAATTATTAAAATCATTGATTGATGGGGAATGTGAGGATTCAACACAAGGCTGCTGAAATAAAAGAGATGGACAAAAAGAACAACACTGTGTGCAGTTCTTCTCCTTAACCTGAATGTGATGATGCTACCATCTTACAGTACGTCTGCCATTTCACTAACAGTGGTGTCTCCTGCCACCTCCTGTCAAATAAAGTTCTTTCATTTTACTAACCTTGAGTAAGTCTCATGTCTGTGGCGCTTTAATCTGTTCACCTGTCCACAGTTTTGCTCTTTAGTCGCCGGTCGTCTCCAGCAGTCCATCTGCTCCTTTAGGTTTCCTCTTTATCTTCTACTCACTGCCAAACTTCACCTGCTTAGCTTTACTCTTCAGTAAAAACTAAAAAAAAGATAATCATCCGTCCCCTTGATTTATCTCCACTTATCTTGTACTACCCTGGTTGCTCTTGTTCTTTAGTCATCAGGCTGTATAAGTTAAATTCTCTGCAGGGAAATTAATTCTTATTATTTCTTTTTCCGAGGACATAACAGCGAATGGGTCTTTGTGATTGTACCCTGAAAACACTGTAAAACAAGTGTGTAAGTAGCACTACAATTTTCTACAACATAGCCCTCATTTTAATATTTCTGGTTGAATTAGACTATTATGGGCATGTTAAACCTCAATAAGTAAGACTGATTTATGACAATAGGAATTTTTAATGGAAGTTATGCATCATCACTGCCTACTACATTTTTGCACAATGAAAGCTGCCTTGTCCTGCTTCTGTGGATCCTCTTTACTCAGGGAGTTACGTTTCTTTCCGCAAATGGATTATTGATCATCCTCTCCATGCTGTGTTAGCCACCTGCAGGGTGTTTCACCTGTACCTGGGACTTACCAGCTGGAAAACCTAATATCAAGCCTTACCTAGTCAAAGTTTAAATTACCACAGAAAATGAGTATTTTACAACCGTGGTCACATACCTAGGACAGAAAGGCTACAAGTCTTAAATGCCTACCTTGGGCTCAAATCAAAGGTGCCACTTGGAGGTATCACATCCCACATCCACATTCATTGTCAGTTGCTGATACAGAGTAACCCGAGCATAAACACACTATAGTGCTTTTTCCCCTTCTTAAAAATAAACCTAGTGCATATGAAAAAGTCAAGTGATATGGTAGAAAAACAGTTTATTAAACGGTGTAATGAAGCTAACTATTTACACGCACATACACACACCTGTTACATGTTTTTAGCAACATGCCAGTCATTATAGCAGTCACGACTTGGGACAAAGCACAAAGGCACATCACAGGAGGGACACTTCAGCGGTGTCTTCAAATGGCACTGCCTGCACTTCAGGCGACCAGTGGTGCTGTGCCCACTGATGTGCACTGGCCTGTGATGTGCTGCCCATGGAGCGGGAGTTGGTACGGGTCTGGCTGTCAAGACAGACCCCGCCTCAGCCAGCTGCTCTGCGAGGGTCTCTCTGAACGCCTTCTGAGTGATAAGCTTCTCTCCTTTAGTTTTTGCTATGTCTTTGTGGAGGAGGAAGGCGTTCACAACTGCGATGTCCATGAACTGATAAAAGAACGTCTTATACCACGTTTGAGTCTTGTGGAGGACTTTGGAGTTCCCTGTCAGGCCGTCAGAGGGGTCCACTCCACCCATGAACCTGAAGGGACAGGAAAAAAACACAACACTAAGGAAAATGCAACAAAACATAAATAAATCAAGAACGCCAATCATTACATTCAAAACAAAATCACTGGCACCACTCAAACCCAACTCTCAGACCTTTACAGTCATGCAGTAAAAAGAAAGACAGTCATCACTAAGGGCTCTTCACTCCCTCTTCACCAGTCTTCTCACCTACTCCCATCAGACAGCATTCAGAGTACCTCTGGTTAAAAAAGAACTTAAAGAAATGTTTTTATTCCTACTTTAACATCTATTTTAAACAAGGCCAAATAGACTGTCACTACTTTTTAAATGCAGCATTGCAACACATTCTCTTATTTATTTATGAAACTGTTTGTGTTTTAAAGGTCCAGTGTGTAGGATTTAGTAGCATCTTGCATTAATGTTTCAGAGCTGAAACTTATGATGGCTGATGTGAAGATGCGAAAACATGGAAACGCGAATGGCCCTGTCTACAGCCAGCGTTTGATGGTGCACTCTTTTTGCTCCAGGAACTCGGCATTTCCAACTTGGTAAATTGAAGGAACCTCACCAGACCTCAAAATCCAATATGGCTGCTCCGTGCATCGGCATTAATGCATCAACATTAATGAAAGCAGTAGTGATGTACTGTCTATCAACATGTCTGTGTTGTTTGTGTCTCATACACACAGTCCTGTCCAGCTTCTATCTGTGGACATGTTGCTACAGGTTTGGTTGTGCAAAATATCACAAAACGCTTTGCTGTCAACAGCGAACCTGGCTAAAAGTGGTGCTGCTAACAACATCTTGGTTTCTCTGACTGCATAGGTAAATGGAATGCAGCATGATTTTGCAGTTCTGGGCTACTGTAGAGCAACATGGTGGACTGCGTGGAAGAGGACCCACTCTGTTCCCACGGATGTATAGAGACCTGGATACAGCATCAGAGGTGGGACCCAGTTCATTCCTAAAGAGGTGCATGAAGCCAAAATCAATTAACTGCAGCTTATTAAATTGCCCTGATGATTGGCGCTACTTGCACATCATTGGGCCCCTACAGCAGGCACACTTGGGACTTCTACTGACGAGCCGGCTACTTCCGGTTTAGAGCTCCATTAACTTCAATGGGGATGAACTGAGTAAATCTAGCTGCTCTTCTAAACCCTACAAATATTTTTAGAGTCACTGGATTAAATGATAGTGACACAAGTCATTTTGGGGGGTTGTGATGCTCAAAAAATGTACCCACTGACTTACAGGTATCTTTTCGCCAATGTAAGTCTATAGGAAAAAGTCTTTGTGGGCCCAGTGTCATCATGTGACAGGCTTGGGAGCTGTAATTCCACTGTTATGCCCCTACAACAATGGGCCCCAAAGCCCGGGGCACTTCCTGGGGGTCTGTCCACTCTCTGTGTAGATATAAATGGTTAATTCTTGTTTTTAGGTGTTTATAAACCGATGAAAACATATTTATGAATACAATACAAAATTTCTGCCAATAGATGACCCTTAATCTTACACTGTGGACCTTTAAGACAATTTTCGATCAATCATTATGTGATAGATTTAAGTGTATTGAATGTTGAACTTCAAAGGGCATAAAATATTGTTGGATATATACGTACTGGTTGTACTCCTTCACAACTGGTGGGAATGGGATGTCCTTCGAGGTCCAATGCCCATCTGCACCTTTGACCCTCCTTTGTACCGTGTCATCGGAATGGGCTGTGTGGAGTGTTGAACACATGAAGACGTCCCTCGTGTCTCGCCACTGGACAAAGAGCAAGGAGTCCTTTCTGATCCAGCGGATGCTGCCGCGGGGAGATTTTGCATCTAGGCTGTTATTCTTTGTTTTGGGGAAGCCAGGTCTGTTCGCTCGTATGGTTCCACACGCCCAGATCTTCCTCTTGAGGAGGTCACGGAAAAGTGTGGGACTTGTGTAAAAGTTATCAACAAAGAGCTTGTAGCCGGTGCCCAGCATCTGTATGTTGATTAGCTCCATCACAGACTCATAACCAAGCCCCTTGCCACTGGTTCCCTTCAGCTTTCCCTCATAGATAAATAAGTCCCATGTGTAACCACTGGATGAGTCTGTCAGAACAAAGAGTTTATGTCCCCAGCGAGTAGGCTTATTTTTCATATATTGCTTGAGTCCATTGCGGGCTTTGGAGGCAACCATTCGCTCATCGATAGATATTTCCTGGCTAGGATGATAGTTCCTCCTGCAGGCGTCCCTCATCTCCAAGTAGAGTGGCTTTGTTTTGGCGAGACGATCGAAGGCTGGCGTGCCTCTCCTCTGCTCGTTAGCAGCATCATCCACCAAGCTGCTGAGGTGAAGGGACCTGCTGATGGTGAGGAACTTCTTACCAGTCATTACCCGTCTAGGAAATGGTAATTCATACAGTTTCCCCACTCGCCAGTAGTCAGCAAATCCAGAGCATTTTACCACACTCATGTAGACGACTAAAGACATGAATGAATACATGTCCTTCAGTGTCAGGTCAGTCCACGGTATGGCGGGGGGTGCATGACTGGAGCAAAACTCATTGGTGTTATTAACGATTGTCTGTAAAATAGAATCAGTGAAGAAGAGTTGGAAGAGCTGCAGGGGTGTGTAGGTGGCTGGAATTGTGAACTGTGGTCCTGGTGACCGGGCGGGTCTGAAGGTGGGCTGCCGGGGTGTGATGTCTGGATCATTCATATCATTCCACCTCCATCCTCCCAACGGGTCAGCAGCCTCACTGCAGGAAACATGTGGGGAAAGGTAATCAATACAATGTGTACTGATGATTCAGTACACATTGTATTGAATGTGTACTGATGATTCAAACTGAAGCTTATTTATGTAGAAATAGAAAAGTAAAACAAATAATAGCACAAAATACTTACTTGTCGGGGAAGTCTTCTCCCTCTACAGTTACATCCACGCTCCAGCTGTCCGATATTTCGTCCTCAGATTCATCCTCGCTTTTAGGCACAATACTTTGGTCAATCATTCCTTGAAGCGTATTTATTATATTATCAAGCCGCCTCGCCATTATTCACCCCAGACGTCCCTAAAAATGTAAAAACGCCACACGTTTTACCTTTAACCCACGGACGCAGACTACACCAGAAGTGGGTATGTTGCTTGCTTGCTTCTTCTTCGTTTAATTCACTGGCGGGGCGGGCTCCTTCTACTTCCGCCTCCGCTTCTTCTTCGTCTGATGTTTAATGGCAGTTGGCAGCTTTTAGGCGCATTACTGCCACCTTCTGGTTGGATTCCTGACAGGAACGCCTACATTACAGCCTCCTGAGACCTGAACTTTTTTGGTGTGCATTTTAAAATTTTCCTAGCTATCTGAGATTAGTAGGAGCTGAAAAATGTTTAAAAAAAAAAGAATATTGTCAACAATAATAAATAAATAAAGTCACAATATTCTCAAACAAGACAACAGTTAAGTCCCAATGTCCTTCAACGAGCTTCTGTGAAACTTCTGAGAAACTTCTTTTTTTGTCCCCTTGATGGTGCTGTGTGATTATTTTCAGTTCAGAGCAAAAATGAACATAGGAGTATTTTTAGATTAAGTTAATAAATAAAAATATTTTGGTATGTTGAAACCACAAAACTGATTGATATCAGTGGGTTAACTGTGAGAGTTGGGGGGAAAATCGACATAGCATAGTAGCATAGTATAGGATATTTTGAGTGGCAATATTGTACTGATACACAAATGCGAAGTATCAAATTTTGTTATTATTAGAAAAATTATTAATACAGCAAATACAAATTAAATAATTGCGTTTTCAGTCCACTAGTGACATTTTGCCACAAGGAAAAAAGATTGAAGTGAGAAGAACAAACTGTATCTTCTTTGATAAAACAAAGTTTTCCTTTGTGGATATAATTTGCAGTCAAGAAAAGGTAATAAATTTGCTATATATTGTCTTTAGTTTTTAAAGAATCTCTTAGCCAACAGCCATTTATTTAGGCTTTTACGAGTTGTCTCTTCTTTCAGTCTGTGGCTTCTGCTGTTGTTTCTCAAAGCCGCTCCCTTGTCGCTCCACTAATACTGAAACTATCTTCTTCCTCTCTAAAGGGCCACATAACCTCCTGCCCTGCTTACGCTTACCTGTGGCTGCGTCCTTCCTTTCTCCAGCCAGCAGGTGGCAGCCTTCACTGCAGAGGCACAGCACATTGCTTCATTAGTGCTGAAGTATGAAGCTTTTTTTAATAACTCTCCCACTGCGTGTTACATGATAACTTACAAGTTCAGCGTTTGAACAGGATTAAGAACATTTCTGTGTGTTTGCACTTCAGGTTAATGCCTGAGCGAGGTGAAAAGCTGAAAAATGGATCGACTTAGTAAAGATCTGAAGACTGGCTAAGCAGGCTAAAGCCACCAAGTAGGCTACAGAGAAGTGATGAAGCTGGCTCGCCTAGTTCTCAGTGGTCTGCGGGTACCTGAACACATCGTGTTCATTTTAATGACTGGCATTAATACAAGAACACTACACAAACACAACTGCCTGAAAGTGGTTTAGCAGAGGTGGTAAATTTGAAACTTGAGACTATCTTTGACCCAGAGCTTCACCAGCAGCTCTGTTTGTGTGTTGAGTCATTCCTCACACATCCTCTGTGGTGTGTGACTGATATTATGCATCAACATTTCCTGATCACAAACACTCAGAGGGCTTCTTCTGCACAGCAACATCCTTCAAAATAAGCAAATATAATGTGTAACCCAGCTGAGCTGCATCTGTGAAAATATTTTTTTTCTTTAAAGGGGAACTCCAACGTTTTTACACACCACACAGTCATTTTATAGATCTTGTGAAGGACTATGAAGGCATATGTGAAAAAAAGTTGCATAAAGCCTGTTGTGCATGGATGCATTACTCAATGGGCCTTCAAGGCACAGGTCTGAGGCCCAAAGTGTCAGGGGCGCCTGTGGCCTTTACCTGCAAAATATCACTCACTTTATCATGTAGCAGCCAGGAGGAGACTGAAACTGATCTCAAAGAGGTGCAGAAGAACTGCAAAGAGACACAAAATTACTACAAAAAGGGGCAAAACAACCACAAAAAGACACATAGTTATCTCAAAGGGACATAAATAACCTCAAAGCGACATAAGATGGCTACAAAGAGACACCAAACAACCACAAGGACACACAAAATTACCACAAAAAAATACTTAACAGCTACAAAGAGATGCAAAAAAGACCAACCAAAAAAAGACAAAACCACAACCAAATGTGTGTCTGTGTGCTCCTATGTGGGAGAAATGGTGGGGCCTTTTGCTTACTGATGCCTAGGGGTCCAATGTCTCTTGTTTTTGTGGCTCCAGAGGGAGCTGTGAGACTCTGACAAACTGACGTCACTGTGATGTCACCTCAGTCAGTGTTGGCTGGGTGAAGACTACAAGTTTGAAAATGAAAAACAATCTGGGACTGTGTGATCAGAGAGAAGTGAGTTTAAGAGATCTGTGTAGCCCGCTCCTCCTCCTCCTCTTCTCTGCTTGAAGCTAGCATCTTAAGGCTACATTAGCTGCTACCAGCATAGCAAACAGGGACCTCTGAAATGAACTTGTTGGTGGCTGAGTTGCATTGTGGGTAATGTAGTTGCCAGGTTGTGACAACAAAAAAGAATGCATGGAATGAAAAAGACAAGGTTTCTGGTTCTACTGCATAGCATCTGCATAGATTTTGATCCTTTTAATGTGAGTGTTACAGAAGTGCAATGCGTAATTGCAGAAGTCGTTTTTTTTGTCAATAAATTCAAGGATTTAAACATTAGGTTTTTATTTCTGGCAGGCTTTGTGAAAGCATTTGCAAATAAGACAAGGAAGATCCATAATTTTGGTAATGGGTTAGCTTGTATGAAAAAAATGTTAATTGACTTCATATTCTGTGGGGAAAAAAAACAAATTGTGTTAATGGTTTGGTCCACAACAGACTGACGTTGTGCTAATTGTGTTTTGAGTTTTGAAAACGTGACTACAGATTGGATAAAAGGATGTCAGCCATTGTAAAAAAAAACTGCAATATGAACATCCTTCATTGTAACACAAAATAAGGTAAAGCTTAATAGGTGTAAGGATCCAAAGTCAAATCGCACTACAAAAAAAAATCCAGCCTTTCAGTCTGCAGACTCCACTCTGAGTTAACAAATCAAAGATCAACATGCTGTTTTTTCTGAGCCTTATCTTTGCTTAGCTCTTGTTTTGCCTACCTCAACAGCACCACCTGCACTGTAATATTTTAAGATCATTTTTTACTCCAAGAGGAACTGATAGTGTCTCTCAGTCTTTTTTTTTACAGCTTACTTGCAATTTTCATTTCTGCAATTGTATTTGTCAAAGTCCACCTCAGCAGATGAAATCATTTTTGCTGTAATAATCAAAAGCAACTCAGTCATCCTTGCAGGACTGTTACAATTGCATGTCTCCCTTTTTATTTCTGCCCATGACATGACTAAGCTAAGTTCTAAAATAGCACATGTATAATGATAGTAATGACTAAAGCCTCAGAAATCCTACAGTGACTCATTCAGCACAGTAACTCTGCAGATAGTCAGAGATGGAATATGGAAAGAGGAAGTAGATTCTGATTGTTCTTTACAGAGGTTACTGTCTGTTCTATCGCTGTGTGGTTTGATTGCATTACTTCACTGACCCGTGATCATCTGTTCTCCTCTGACATGCAGCAGGGGCCCGTTGCAGCTGAGATGATGGTGTGGTTGGGGCCTGCAGAGATCAGCCATTGATTCCAGAAACTTCTGCTGCTTTCAGAGTCAATTTAAAGACTGGACAACGTGTCTAATCATAGATTGATGCGAACGTGATGAAGACAAGCTGCTGTTTAAGACATGTATGTCGACAGTTACATACAACCACCTGCTGATTCTGCCAAAGCTAACTGGGACACATTTAACATGATCTGCACCCCACTGATAATCAGTTAAACAATACTTATTATAACTATTTTAATAAAAGAGATAAAGACAGATTTTTCCTATATGATCTGTTTGTGTTCATCAGTACTGTTAGAATTTACAGGACCAGGTGACACATGCAGCAAGGATGGGAAGTACCACGGTATTTTTATGCAAATGTTGTTGTGCTTTCTCCTGCAAATCATTTTAACGGACTACAACAGACAGATGTGTTGGGTATTCACCAGAAAAACCTTTTCAAGAAGGCACAAATACCAGATATGTCAGTCACACTTACAGAGGGACTCACAAAATCCAAGTAGAAGCAGATGTATTTGAAAAGTCTTAAATCATTTTGCTAAGTAATAGCTATTTTTAATCACAACACACACACACATACACACACACACACCTAAAACATTATGGACATAATTTCCACATCTTGTAACTTGTTTACATTAATTTGATGTTCTCAACTTTAAATAGTTCATCCATCCATTTTCATCTGCTTATCTGGGGCTGAGTTGTGAAGGCAGCAGGCCAAGCAAAGCACCCCAGGTGTTCCTCTCCCCAGCAACACTTTCCAGCTCCTCCTGATGGACCCTGAGGCTTTCCCAGGCCAGATGAGATATGTAATCCCTCCAGCATGTTCTGAGTCTGCCCAGGGGCCTCCTACCAGTGGGACGTGCCCGGAACACCTCTAACGGGAGGCGTCCAGGAGGCATCCTGATCAGATGCCTGAACCACCTCAGCTGACCGTTTTCGACACGAATGAGCAGCGGCTCTACTCTGAGCTCCCTCCGGATGTCATAGCTCCTCACCCTATCTCTAAGGCTGAGCCCAGCCACCCCACTGAGGAAACTCATTTCGGCCGCTTGTGTCTGCGATCTCATTCTTTCGGTCACTACCCAGAGTTTGTGACCATAGGTGAGGGTTGGGACGTAGATGGACCAGTAAATTGAAAGCTTTGCTTTCTGGCTCAGCTCCCTCTTCACCACGACAGTCTGGTGCATCGCCTACATCACTGCAGAAGCCGCACCAAACCACCGATCCATCTCACGCTTCATTCTACCCTCACTCATGAACAAGACCCTGAGATACTTGAACTCCCTCGCTTGAGGCAGTAAGTCTCTCCCAACCTCGAGGGGGCAATCCACCGTTTTGTGGCAGAGAACCATGGCCTCAGATTTGGAGGTGCTGACTCTCATCCCGACGGCTTC